TCCATCCATCCACCCATCCATCCATCCATCCATCCACCCATCCATCCATCCACCCATCCATCCATCCATCTATCCATCCATAACATGAGGCTTACACCAGCTCTGCCTCCCTCGCAGGGCTGCTGGGAGTCTCAGAAGAAATCAGAGATAGCAGAGCAAGCTGAAGGGCTTATGATTGCTGTGTAGACTCTGGGTCAGAGGAGGCAGGAAAATAAAAACAAAATAGCCCAGTGGCTCTGTGGCACAAATAGGAAAATACCCCTGAACCAGAGCATGATGACAGTCCCCACATTCTGTTATGGTTACCCAGACATTCGTTGCTCTGCCAGACTCACCCCTGAGAGGACTGTGCTTCGAGGGCTGTTGACCTGTCCCAGGGTCCAGCCTCCACCTACACAGGTGGAATTTTCCACTCCATTCTTTTGCACATATTAATCGAGGCCCTTTCTGGTCAACAGTAGATTCATTGTCTGTGGTGAGGCAGCTGTTCCTGGCAAGTACCAGTTGACTCCTGGGGCCTCTGCAGCAGGCTGGGCTGGGGAGGAGCAGTTGGGGTACTCTGGCCCTTGAACCGCCTGCTCCTGCACTGCTGCAGTTCCATGGACTCAGCCAGCTCAGCTTCAATACCTGCTGTGGCTTTGGTGCCATAGCCAGGGCTTGCACCCTGCGGTTCCCAGTGTGGACATTCTCAATGCTCCAGGAAGCGGGCCTAGCTTTCATGACACTCCTGCCAGTTCTTAGAATGAAACTCTGTGAGGTCAGAACCTGTGTGTCCCATTCGCAGCTCTGGTCCCTGTCCTGGTCCCCTTGGTACTTGTGTGCCCTTCTCTTGTGCTGTTATCGTAGTGGGACTTCACAGAATGTCCAGAACACAGAGGAAGCAGGTACCGGTGTTGCTGTCTCTAAGCTCCATCAGTAAATGAGGTGATGAAGTAAGCCTCATAGGCTCTGGGGGCAATCGCAGGCTATTCTAGGAGTAGAGCAGTTGGCAGGTGTCGGGCACTTGTAGCAGGGTCAGTGATAGGTTCTGTTGGTCAGTGAGTGTGAGTTGATCTGTTATTATTATTGGGCATCATTGTAGCGTCACAGCTTGTACTTTATGGAGGAGGAAATGGGATAAGTTAGACTAAGCAAGCAGGAGGAGGGGATAGAACTCACGCCATGCTGTGAGCTTGCCGGAGTCACTATGTGTTTTTTTTAAGCTTTGTATTTTCAGTTCATCAAAGTGTGTTGTTAGCTCCTACTTCCTTTTGCCTTCACCAAAAAACAAAAACAAAACAACTGTGAAATGGGCAACGGTTTGCATTTTGTAGATGAGGACACTGAGGTCTAGAGAGGCTAAACCCTGGGTGGTCAC